ATATATATATATATATATATATATATATATATATATATATAGATTCTCACCCTGTCAAACAGAGCAAACAGCTCCTCAAGAGCTGGGTTGATGGGTAATTTTAGGAAGCTGGCAAACTCCTCGATGGTTATCCGCCCTCCCTTGCAGCTGGTGGCTCTGACTGCAAAACCCTCCAGCTCCTTCTTCATGTTGTCCCACTTCAGACTGTGTGAGCAGAACAAAATACAGTTACACATATTTTCTTTTATGACAGTGATAAACTCCTTGTGTGGTGTTCGTGTTTTGGAGCTGTTCCTACTTTAACTTGCGACTGAGTTTGGTGAACTCAACCAGGCCAGCCTCCATGGGAAGAGTCAACTCTCCAGCTGAGATCATTAGGCGACAGTCTTCATATGTGTGGTCTGTCACTGAAACTCCCAAAACCCTGAGGGTAGAAGGCGTAGCAGCCAGCTAAAACGGTTATTAGGAGTTTGTTAGAGCAGATGGGTAAAACTGAAATTAGAAAACTGGTGTGACAAAATGCATCAGTGGGTTTCTCATCAACTCCAGCTCTCATTATACACGTTGACCACTTTACTTATACGTGCTGAAATAGATACTCTCATCAAAGTTCATGCTCAATAATCCAGGTAAAAATTCAAACATCCTTCAGTCAGGTCATCTGGACTGTTTCTTTTTTTTTGTTGAGACGTTTCGCCCTTCATCCAAAGGACTCCATCAGTACGAGGAACCACAAATAAACTCAGTCCCACAAGCAGCATACTCCCATAGTGGACCAACCAGTTTGCTGGTGATAAGATGGTTTCTGGGGTCCATCGACTCCTCTGAGGCAGCCATAGCCAAAGTGGTTCACAACCTTTATGTTCTGAAACAAATTACATATACGTCGACGGGGGAGAGGGCGGGCCCCAGAAACCATCTTATCAACAGCAAACTGGTTGGTTCACTGTGAGTGTGCTGCTTGTGGGACTGAGTTTGCTTGTGGCTCCTTGGACTAATGAAGTCCTTTGGATGAAGAATGAAACATCTCAAAAAAAAAAAAAAAAAAAAAGAAACACTCCAGATGACTTGACTGAACAATGTTGGAAAGATACTCTCATGTTTCCAT